GAGAGAGAGTGGTGTGTGTGTGTGTGGCCAGCTCAGCCCACCAGGGGGCGGGGCTGGCTGGCATGTGGTGCTGGGGGATCGAACCGCGGTCCCTGATGCTTCGCTAAGCTTGTTCCAAGTAGGTGCTTTAGACCACTGAGCCATCTCTCCAGCCCCTAAAGTTTAAAATCTTGTCAACATTGTATAATCTGTCTTCTAGGATGTTTTTTCTCTTACTCACAATTGACATTAGTTTGCTTTATTTGTTCACTTGGACTTTCGTCTCCTTAAAGAAAAATGGATCAGGCCTTAGTTACTGGCATTATGTCAGATATTTATCTGAGACTGGACAGACCTCGCTGTAGATAGGCTTCCCATATCCAAAAATAGTCATCCTCCTGCTGCTACTTAAGGGCGGTTTTCCACAGGACCTGTAATTGCACCACAGAGCAGATACGTGGTTCGTGACCAGTCGGAGGGGCCATGTGCTAAGGCACTGTGGCACGTGGTGCCCTGTGCCGTGGTGGAAGCCTGGCCCAGTAGAGCAGAGTGGAGTGTGTGCCAGATAGCTTGGTGGGAAGTAACTCCTGATGGGAGATGCTATGCTGCTATTTGATCTTTTGGAACCACATGAGGAAAGTGTCACACACAGTGAGTCTCGCGTGACTCCTTTTGGTCTTGCCAGGTGACTGATCTCGATGATGAAGTCGGATCTCCTGCAGAAGAGTTCAAAGCCTTTGCTGCGGACACAGGGATGAACAGGAGTCAATCCGAGTATTGCAATGTGGGCACCAAGACCTATCTGACCAACCACCCAGCTAAAAAGTTCGTTTTTGACTTCATGCGGGTCTTAATAATAGACAACCTCTGCCTCACCCCTGCCAGCAAGCAGACGCCACTGATCGATCTTCTGCTGGAGGTAAAGACAAGGACACGTTTCCGTTTTGTCTGCATGCTCTTCTAGTGAGACCGTGGGTAGGCAAGCTCCGGCTCGAAGCCTGTAGACGCCTGCACATTTTTAGTTCTGGATTTTGTAGGGACAGAGTAGCATGGGCTGGGGAGCATTCAAATCCCAGTATGCTCTAGGCTCGCAGTTTGTTCTTCCTGCCTGTCTCTCTCACACCTCCCTAATTCAGTCCTCTTGCCATCCTTTCTCTCAGAACTGGTGGACTTCTCTGGAAAGGCGTAAATAGGTATTTTAGACTGTGGGCCCGCAGTGTGTGTCACCGATTGATCCATGTCATCGTAGCCTGTGAGCAACCACAAAGAGGGTCTGCTTAAGCCTTGCCTGCAGGTTCATGTTCCTCTGGCAGTGCCTGTGAGCAGGGCTAGTAGTCCCTGAGGGGTGTGAGAGGCTCTGGAGACTGCTGCTTCCCAGCAGCTGCGGCTCTGCACTGGGACAGCCCGCCTGGCGCGCCCTCTGCTCCCCCTAGTGGTCACTGTGCTTATCTTGTTCGTGGCGACCTGAAGCTGCAGGTGTTGGTCCTACTCAGCCGAAAAGGTTATTTGGTCAAGACTAGAAAAAGATATATTTATGCATATATGCAGGATGTATATGTAGAATAGCTTGGATAGTTGTACTGCTGATTTGTGCTGGTCTACTGAAAGGAGCAGTTGATGCTTAAGTTTTTTTTCTTTTTAATTTCTTGTAACTTTTTTTTTTTTTTTT